AGAAAGGCAACCCACTCCAGTATTCTTGCCTGGAGAATTCTATGAACAGAGGAGCCTGGCAGGCTACAGTCCGTGGGATCAGAGTCAAGAACGACTGAGTGACTATCACTTTCACTTTCCCAGTAATACCAAATGGACCCCTAGGCAGCTGTTCAAGAAACCAGATCCCAGGATTCCCTGGCGGTCCAGTGGTTAAGATTCTGTACTTCCACTACAAGGGGCACAGGCTGGATCCCTGACCAGGGAACTAAAATCCCGCATGCCACATTGCCAAAAAAAAAAAAAAAAAAAAAAAGGAGAAAAGAAACCAGATGCCACAACCCACAGTGATATTTCTTCTCACTTTGAATTTGGAGGGTAACTCAGTGCAGATGGGACACTATCCAAATGATATGGCACACAGGTTTGTAAACACATAGATTAATGAGTAGGCTACAGAATAATATGCAAACTATTATCCTATTTTTATTAAATAAATAAATCTAGGAGAATATGTTCCAAAATATTAAAAATAATCATCTCTAGAGTGGTGAAGTTAACACTGATTGCTTTTCTACTTTGGTCTTCTTTATATTTGCTCAGTTTTCCACCCTCCAAAGTCTAATACTCATAGCTCCACAGTGTTCCCTTTTCTCCCACCTTACTACCTTCAATCCTTCATGCCATGATGATGTTTTTAAGCCTACAGAGGAAAGTTACTTGGGATTTGGTCACTAAACTCAGAATGCACAGCAAATACTGCATATAGTAAATATTACTTTTGAAAATCTCTTAAATTACTCATAATAGTTTACTGCCCATAACAAATGGTATGTTGTGTACTACTCATAAACTGATTTCGAGGCCCCCTCAAATTTGAGAACTTCTGAGCTTTATGGAAGGAAAAATAAAAAATGTATGTGCAGTTGTCTATACAGTCAAACTATGCTGAAGTTAAGATAAAGCTCTCACTCTGGGTGCCCATATGGTTCCCTTCCTCCCTTCAGCCAAGGTTCCACTCAGGTATGATCTCCTGATATACAGGGTGGTTTGTTGGGGGAAGATGAAAGAAAGAGAGACAGCACTCAGAACTGGAAGATTCCAGAGAAGAGAGAGTAAAATGATCAAGACACAAGTGTGAAAAGGAAGAGATTTCCAACACATTGGTGTTCCTGTTCTGTTCAAATTATTAAATAAAACCCATTGAAAATTATCACAATCTACCATTTGAAAATGCAACTTACTTAATGTTTGTATATGCATTGAAATAAAAGAATATACTAACAATGAAAGTAACGGAACCCTCTTTGCTTACTACCATATCTGAAATGGTAACTCGCTCCAGTATTCTTGCCTGGGAAATCCCATGGACAGGGGAGCCTAGCAGTCTACAGTCCATGGGGTCGCAAAGAATCGGACACAACTTCAACTAAACAACAACAACAACATCTGAAATAGCAGCTCTTGGTGACCCCTATGCTTTTAATTTGTTTCATTTAGAGTAGAGCTCTTCTAACAGCCTGACAGCATATCAAATACATAGCTGCTAATTTGTTTGTTCAATTTCTCCTTCGTTAGAATATAAGCTCCATGAGGGCAGAGACTTTGTATATTTTGTTCACTGCTGTCTCCTCAGTGAGCTTAGAAGAATCGTGGCACATAACAGGTGCTCAAAAAATATTTGTTAAAGAAAAGTAACAATTAAATCCCTAATGTGCTTTAATATTAAGCCTCTATAATCTTAATATACATTCTCAAATGTGTTTAGTTTGTTGTGTTAAGGAAGCTACCACACTGTTCCTTCCTCTTTTTCTTCAGACACAGGTATTAGCAAACTCAGGGCACTAATTGCCCAGCTTAGAATTGAATGGCACTAGGACCATACTTCAAAGATTGCGCTCTACTTAATAAACCATTGTACAGATTTTGCATTTTTCATGTTTCATTTCTAAATCACTAAGGTTTTATAGAATTATTACTATTTCTTACAAAATATTTTCTTATTTTATCATTCTAGACTATTGAATTACAGTGGTTCTGTTTGACATGCCTTCAATATTCCATATGAAACTTGATTTATGCCACTATATCTCTGAGACTGGAAACTTAAGTTTATTGATATATGACTTACAGGACACAATCTATCCAGTATATTTACTAGTACCTTTAAAACATTATGTTGTATTCTTCTGTAACCTGCTACAATCTAGTCTTAAAAATACATTTTGCAAATATATAAAGTCACTTAGTGACTTTGACCCAACCCATATTTATATTTTGCTTTTTATAAAAATTGAATAACCTCTTTTAAAACTATGAATAAGGGATGCTTCTGAGAAAGTAGAAGGATAAATAAATATTTTAATCTTCTTCATTCATACTTTATCTCATTCCAAAAATTATTTCAGATAACTTATATATAGACTCTACAAGATTAAAAATATATAAGAACTCAAGGACAAGGAAAATTAAAGAAATAATGGTACTATGTGACCAGAAAAGTATCCTTTATACCTAGAAAGTACAGAGCAGGAACAGACTATTAACAATTACACTTCATTGTTTTCTCCCTCTCACTGTGACCGAATAAAATTTCTATACTCTGAGAAAAGGGGAGCAAAGTATTCAATTCTTCCTAAAAAAATTCAATTGAAGAAAGAAAAACAGGGAATTCCCAGGCAGTCCAGTGGTTAGGACTTAGCACTTTCACTATCATGGGCCCAGGTTCAATCCCTGGTTGGGAAACTAAGATCCCACAAGTTGCATGGCTTGGATTAAAAAAAAAAAAGAAAAGAAAAGAAAACAGAAAGGAAAACAATTAGAAAATGTCTGTTTTGTGTTAAGAATTCATTTGAATCAGTTCTAATGAGATGGATGAATCTGGAGCCCATTATACAGAGCGAAGTAAGCTAGAAAGACAAAGACCATTACAGTATACTAACATATATTCATGTAAATCCATGGCTAATTCATTTCAATGTATAACAAAAAGTACTGTAATGATGTCAAGTAATTAGCCTCCAACTAATAAAAATAAATGGAAAAATAAATAAATAAATAAAAAGAAATATAACAGAAAAATTTCCTGATTAAGCTTGGCTCTCAGACTTCACTAATCAAAGTAGGTCCTAATGTCCTAAATATCCATCAACAGATGAATGGATAAACAAGATGTGATGTATATACAATGGAATATTATTCAGCCATAAAAATGAATGAAATAATGCCATCTGCAGCAACACGGATGAACCTGGAGATTATCATGCTAAGAGAAGTAAGTTAAACAGAGAAAGACAAATACATTATGATATCACTAACATGTATAATCTAAAAAAATGATACAAATGCACTTATTTATAAAGCAAAAACAGACTCATAGACATAGAAAACAAATTTATGGTTGTAAAAGGGGAAAGTGGGATGGGGGGATAAGTTAGGAGTATCAGATTAACAGATACACACTACTTTATATAAAATTGACAAACAAGGACCTACTCTATATCACAGGGAACTATATTTAGTGTCTTGTAATAACCAATAATGGAAAAGAATATATATAACTGAATTGCTTTTCTATACACCTGAAGCTAACAAAATATTGTAAATAAACTATACTTCAAAAAAAACATCGAGTTCAGCATTCAAAGTAGGGTTTCTATACCCTAGGAGGTACATATGACAACCTATCAACCCATGTAGAGTGAATGGAAACTATTAGGATTTTTTTTCCATTTATTTTTATTAGTTGGAGGCTAATACATTTACTTTTTTATCATCCAGTTTTGGTTCTATAATGTTTATCTTACATATTTGAGATACTTCTTTCAAGTATATGTTCAAAGCACAAGAACATTTTTTAACAAAATTGGGATTAGAATATGTGTGTGTCTACATATATAATAACATCTGTCACTTACCTTTACTAAGACTCCAACACAAGCTTTTTCTCATGCGTTAAATATTACTTGAAAAACTAAATTTATTGAATGTATTATATGGATGAACTATAAGTTCCATTAAACTGTAATCTTCAGTTGTTAGAAAATCAGATTGTTTCTAATATTAACTATTTTAAATGAAGTTGTAATGAACATCCTTGCACACAATTGCCTTTTTCTCTAGAGGCAGAATTCCTGGGACAAAGGATATTAACATTTTTTACATTTATGATATGGATATTGTGCTATTTTTACAAATGCAAAAAATTTTAATGCACAAAAATAGTTACTGATGGTCACTTTGACCTGTTCCCATCACATTTTAACAGCTGGGTCAATCATTTTCAGTGTAATATCGTTACTTAAAAAAAAAAATCTATGGAGGTTTTGTGGTGGTCCAGCAGTTGTGAATCTGCCTGCCAATTCAGTGGTCATGGGTTCAATCCCTGCTCTGGGAAGATCCCACATGCCATGGAGCAACTAAGCCCATGTGCCACAACTACTGAACCCATGTCTCTAGAATCCCCAAGCTATAACTATTGAGCCCACACACCATAACTACTGAAGCTCACGTGCCTAAAGCCTATGTTCTGCAACAAGAGAAGTTACCACAATGAGAAGCTCATGCACTGCAACTAGAGACTATCTCCCGCTTGCTGCAACTAGAGGAAGACTGCACGTAGCAACGAAGATCCAGCACAGCCAAAATAAATTAATAAATCCTTTTTAAGAAATTAAAAAAATCTATTCCTCTGACCCTATATTTGTCTCTCCAAATTAATGCCATAATAAAAGATGCCCTCTTAGAAAAATAAACATATTTTTTATGTTGTTTGCTGGGGAGAAGTAATGAACAAGGAATACATAAGCTTTCAATTAGATACTCCTTTATTGCTGTGAGCTGCCACTAACCCCTTCCTCTAAAAACACTGTGGAAAGCAACTACAGAGCTAAAAAGTCCTGGAAAAACACCAAGATTTGATCACAACCATGTCACATGTAGCCATCACATTGCCATATTAATCTTTGTTTTGTTGTTGTTGGTTTGCTGCAAAAGGCTTTATTGTTTCCATTTGGTCCAAGGCTTTGGAGAGGGCTTCAGGATGTTAAAAAGCTGCCTCGTGGTTGCAGAGAGGGGCTTCAAGCAGAAGCCCTAACACCAGAGGGACTCCTCAAAGGCCACTGGACTCAGGAGGCTCCTGGTCGTGCTTGCGGATGAGCCTTTCCAAAAGAGACCTGCCCAGCTCCGTCTGGGGTCCAGCCAGCCTGCGGAACTTGGTCAGGGGGTTGCCCATCTTCCTGATGAGTTTCACCTCCTCATCTAGGAAGTGGCTCTCCAGGAAGTCACAGATGTGGGAGTCTGGGAGGGCAGAATCCAGGCCATGTAGATCCAAAAAGGCCTAGTTCAGGCTCTTCTGCATGAAAAGGACGGCTTCCATAGCATCCTGGATTTTACCCCACTTATCCTAAGATGCTTCTACATGTCCAGGCACAGCCACTGCACTGGTTTTGCATTTTCAAGCAATGCTCTGCACCCTTGCACTTCTCCTTGGCCAATCCACAGAGAAAGTGCCCCCTCCAGCTTTCCAGAGCCACGTGATTGCTGTGAAAACAGAAGCCCAGAGAGAAGTAGGAGCAAGGCCCATAGATGCACGGTGACCAGGAGATGGACAGGGCCTCCACCTCAGCAGAATCATTCTGATAAAACTGGGAGCTCATGGTTGATTGGTAATAAGGAGTTAAGCTCAAAAATGGTGTTGGTACTCCTGTTGATTGCAGACAGTTAAGTGGCTGATTCAGAAGGTTGTGACTGGAAAAAAAGGTTGAAGGGTGGTCAAAGGCTGGAGCAAGGGGTGTTCCTAGGTCTATTCAGTCCAAACACTGCTGAAGCAAGAGACAAATATGCAGGACCACCAAGCACACTGTGCCCATCTTGTTCTTTGAATAAGATCAACTGGAAATTACAGCACAAAGCTTGAGAAAAGTTATAACTATTATTTTACTTTTTTCTCTACTTATGCCAAGGTGTAGTCCAGGTCATCATCTGGCTAGTAGATGTTATGGGCAGCAAATGAGAGGACACTTAAAATAAGAAGTTTTAATAATCATTATGAAATATGACATACCTTGAAGACTCAGGCAGCTCTGAGTATGATTTAGTTTGGAAGGATCAAGTATTAATTTGAAAGGTTTGTTTGTATAATGTGAAAGGGAGTCTAACCTCAATCATCTTTTTGACAAAAACAGATAAAAACTTTAAAAATTAAAGAGGATAGGTATAATTATGTTGTTTTCTTAAGTTAAAAACAATGCCCCAACTTTTTTTAAGTAAAAAAAAAAAAAAAAAAGTAGAATACCTCTATGGAAAGGGTGGGGAGTAAAGTGAAGAGGACACAGTTAAAAGTTAGACTTCTCTGTCCATACTTAGTTTTTTAGGTTTGATTTTAGAACCATCTAACAATTCAACATGATTAGAATAGAAAAAATAATCAAATTAAAATAATACAATTTCAATGAGAAAGCAATTCATAAAAATCAGGAGCAAAAATGAGACAAAGCAAATGGTGTATTGATTTTGCAGCATATTCACAAAGAGAGGAAGAATTATGTCAAGTGAATTTAAATTATATTAATTTAGTTATACACTCCTAGTAGCATATATCCTATGCCCAAAAAGAGACTAAATATTTTAGGTAATCATATTTCTGCTGCTAGTAATAATGTTGGTATTATTATTTGAAAGCCATCTTGTAAAAAAAAAAACTAAAAAATTATGTTGAAGTCACTGGGAAACTTTTGCATTGGGGGAGGGAAGGATAAGTAAAACTCATGTATTTCTAAACTTATTTTGAAGTATTAATTTAAATTCATAATGTAATTTATCTTAAAATTACATACATATACATATATACATCTCCACTAAATAAAGCCTAGACACAGTGACCACTCTAGGAGTATTGAGATCCTCTAGTGCTCCATTTGCGGTCTCTAAATACCATTTCCCACTAAAAGAAAGCAAAGTAACTTGGAGAATGATTGATTCTATGTCAAGGCAGGAAACATACAAGGTAAGCCTGGTATCTTGTCACATCAGAAACCAACAAAATTATCAAAGACTGCCTAGGGTCATGTCAAAAGGACCCAGGATCATTAATAATAACAGGAAATGCCTTCCATCATTCCCTTTCCTCTCTCAGAGTAACATAACTCATGCATCAGTTCAGTTCAGTTCAGTTCAGTCACTCAGTCATGTCCGACTCTTTGCAACCCCATGAACTGCAGCACACCAGGCCTCCCTGTCCATCACCAACTCCTGGAGCCAATCCAAACTCATATTCATTGAGTCGGTGATGCCATCTAACCATCTCATCCTCTATCGTCCCCTCCTCCTCCTGCCCTCAATCTTTCCCAACATCAGCATCTTTTCATATGAGTCAGCTCTTCACATCAGGTGGCCAGAGTATAGAGAAAAGTAAACATGTAAAAGATCAGCTTAAAATTTCAGCTTTGGGGTCAAGTGAAATGGCCATAGTTTTTTATATATGCCGTGATTCCACCCTGAAAGCTGCAGACAGTAGAAAGTCAAAATACAGGATTTGTTTGGGGGTAGGAGTTGGATAGGATGAAGACAGATCTTCCAGTTAACATTACCTGGAAACCCATCTTTTCACTCCAAATAAATAGATTTCCAGAAAGAAAACTACTTTCCTATCCCACTGAGAATAAAAGAAGAAATAAAAGAGCTATTGCACTGAATGCAATGCTCAGCCAAAGGAACAGACATGAGCATGACAAAAAGAAAACTAGCAGCTCATGAGAGAAAAGACAAAGAAAGGAAGAATGCAAAATGTGATGTCCTGAGAGATCAGAGCCAGTTTTCACCATGAGGAAGCAAGCAAATGAGCAGTAAAGCTTGGACAAAACAGAAGAGACCAATTAAAAGAAAAATAAGAAATAAATGGGGTCACAGCCAGGCTTCCCAGGTGGCTCAGTGATACAGAATCTGCCTGCCAATGCAGTAGACGCAAGAGAGGCAGGTTCAGTCCCTGAACTGGGAACATCCCCTGGCGGAGGAAATGGTAATCCTACTCCAGTATTCTTGCCAGGATAATCCCATGGACAGAGAAGCCTGGCAGGCTACAGTCCTCGGGATTTCAAAGCGTCAGACACAACTGAAGCAACTGAGCAGGCACCCATGCACAGGGTCACAGCCACTCAGATCTTGGGAAAGATTGAAGTCTTCAGAAAACTTTCCTTTGAACATGTTTGCGTACTGTGGATTGCAAGATCATTTTTAACCAGGTTAATATGTTTCATAAAAATGCTTAATATGTTTTCATCATATGAGTTGTAGACAGTATTAAGATTTTCTCAAATAATACCTTCTGTTGCAGAAGTAAGCACCCAGCAAGCTTTTGACTGTATAAATCATGAGGGGCACTAATAATCCCATATTCACTAACTCATAATCAACCAGACACTTAGGATTTCTGATTATGTACCGACATCCTTCCCTACTCAATAATTAGAGGAAGACACTAAGCCAGACTTCCTGGCTGAGACAAACCACCAAAATTGGGGTTCTAATTAAGATTCAGCAACACAATAAAATATCATACAATATTAAAATGATAATTATACTGACCAGTTGGGAAATGGTGAAACATTATAGAACATTATATTCCAACAGCAGAATACAAAGTATGATTATATTTGCACATTAAAAGCTACAACTATTGAGGTGGTCCTAAGATGGTGGAGGAATAGGATGGTGAGACCACTTTCTCCCCCACAAATTGATCAAAAGAACATTTGAACGCTGAGCAAATTCCACAAAACAATTCTGAATGCTGGCAGAGGACATCAGGCATGCAGAAAGGCAGCCCATTGTCTTCGAAAGGAGGTAGGACAAAATATAAAAGATAAAAAGAGAGACAAAGAGGTAGGGACGGAGATCCGTCCCGGGAAGGGAGTCTTAAAAAATAGAGAAGTTTCCAAACACCAGGAAACACTCTCTCCAGTGGGTCTGTGGCGAGCCTTGGAATCTCAGAGGGCAAAATAACTGAGAGGAAAAATAAATAAATAATTAAAACCGACAGATTAAGTGCCTAACAGCAACTCCCAGTGGAGTAACAGCCCAGATGCTCGCATCCCCCACTAGCAATGGGGCTGGACAGGGAGGAGTGGGCAGCATTGCTTAGGGTAAGGACCGGGCCTGAAAGCCCCGAGGGCAATCTGAGGGAATTATCTTGAGATAGCAACCCAGACTGTGGGATAGCTATCCCACAAAAAGCCCTAACCTAAAACACCGCCCATGAATCAAGGCAAATTGGAAGTGGTCAAACAGGAAATGGCAAGAGTGAATGTCGACATTCTAGGAATCAGTGCACTAAAATGGACTGGAATGGGTGAATTTAAATCAGATGACCATTATATCCACTACTATGGGCAGGAATCCCTTAGAAGAAATGGAGTAGCCATCATGGTCAACAAAAGAGTCCAAAATGCAGTACTTGGATGCAATCTCAAAAACGACAGAATGATCTCTGTTCGTATCCAAGGCAAACCATTCAGTATCACAGTAATCCAAGCTTATGCCCCAAGCAGTAAAGCTGAAGAAGCAGAAGGTGAAGAGTTCTATGAAGACCTAAAAGACCTTTTAGAACTAATACCCAAAAAAGACATTCTTTTCATTATAGGGGACTGGAATGCAAAAGTAGAAGTCAAGAAACACCTGGAGTAACAGGTAAATTTGGCCTTGGAGTACGGAATGAAGCAGGGCAAAGGCTAATAGAGTTTTGCCAAGAGGGCACACTGGTCATAGCAAACACCCTCTTCCAACAACACAAGAAAAGACTCTACACATGGACATCACCAGATGGTCAACTGGAATATTACTCAGCCATTAAAAAGAATACATTTGAATCAGTTCTAATGAAGTGGATGAAACTGGAGCCTATTATTCAGAGTGAAGTAAGCCAGAAAGAAAAACACCATTACAGTATACTAATGCATACATATGGAATTTAGAAAGATGGTAATGATAACCCTGTATGCGAGACAGCAAGAGAGACAAAGATGTATTGAACAGTCTTTTGGACTCTGTAGGAGAGGGTGAAGGTGGGATGATATGAGAGAATGGCATTGAAACATGTAA